CGCTCCAATATCACCAAGGCCTTCTCCAGGAGCCGCTTTTGTTCTCGACGATCTCCAAGAGCTCCGCAGGCAGTCGCCAAATTGTTCAGAGTCAAGGCAACCTCTGCTTGGTCTGGGCCGTATGCCTGCTCCATGGACTTACACAGCCGCTCACCCAGATCGCGTGCCTCCAAGGCTTGCCCGGTTTGGAGGCAAAGACCCGCCAACCGAAACTGCCAATCCATGGCTTGGACAGACGTCTCGCCAAAGTAAGAGACGGCCAGCGTATGACTGAGCTGTGCAAGGGGCAATTGGCACCAGGCTTCCTGTTTTCGCAGCTCTTTGTTCTCACGCTGCTGCAACTCTTTGATCCTTGTCAGCACAGACTCAGCATGATGAGGATCCAGAAGCCGCGGATCTTCCAATGAATTCATCAGCTGCTGCTGCCCATCATGGCCTTGGATTCTGAAGGCCCGCACGCACAGCGAGGCATCTCGTGCCAGCTCCTCAGGGGTGTCCGCTATAGGCTCGATGATTTATATATAGGGCTAGTTTTAAAGAAGGATCCCTATGAAACATGGGTTCCATCAAACATGGTGCTACATTTGGGACGACTCTGGTCCTCCCACTTTGCAATCCGTGGCGGATGCCCTGGCATGCCCGGCACGAAGACGTGTACGAGCTCTGGCCTCTGCAGGTAGCCGAACTCCCACATGCAGGCCACGGAGTTGAAGTAGGACCGCGTGAGGTTCACGATGAGGATCCCGTGCTTCGTGGCTTCGGCGAACGTCTTGTAGTGCAAAAACCACGGCGGCAGCTGCCCTTCCTTTCGTTGGGCCATGGTGCGGGGCCCCTCCTCCCCGAAATGGCCAAGGCCCAGGGACTTGTCTGTGCAAAACGTCATGGGCCGCACTTCCCCAGCAAACTCAACGCCCTCCTGCAGCATCCTGAGCGTTGCATTGTTGGCTTCTGCATCGCCGGTGGTAAACGAAATGAGGAAATCAGCCTCGCTGGCCAACGTCTTGGCTTCAACCTCCCGCCTCACCTGCCACCCAACCGGCTTCCACTTTCGCCACGTCTCCAGCCGCTTCTTCGTTGCCGGGTCCCCTGCTAGCTGGTCGGCTCTCTGGTAATCTGTCTGGTAGTCGAGGTAATCTTCCTGCGCTCCACGAGTCTGCATCAACTCCTTCGCGATACCACGGAGGTTGTACACCTCGGCGCTTGTGGGGACAATCTTGATGGCCTCGGTGAAGTGGCCAACGGCCCGCAGGGGCTCATCTGCACGCAAGCATTCCCAGCCACGGGCGAGGGCTTCCTGGGCTTCCTCGTTCTCTACCTTCGCAGGTTGCCAGGCTGCACCATCAGAGTTGCAAACAGGGCTAGGAGGCTATTCCTGGACCATCGCCGGAATCTAGCGGCTGCCCCAAGTCAGGGGCAGCGGCGCCCGTCGCAGGCTGCTCTTGCCCGGACTTGAGGCTTTCGCACGAGGCTCTTGCAGCTGCACTTGAGGCGCTGCGGCCCAGCAACCGTGGCAGGCCGGTAGGGTCCTCACCCGCTCCTCCACGGTTGTTCTTGCAGGCAGTGGCTTCTGCGCTGCCGCAGCAACCCATGGGCGTCACCAAACACGGGGATCCAAGTCCCAGTGCTCTTAATGATTAATGTATCAGAATCCTGCATGCGACATCTCCGGAATGTGCAGCTTAGGGTGACAGAATCTAAAATCTGGAACTCAGTCTCTCCCTGCTGTCTAGTCTGTACAACATGCTCGGCGGCGCTGCCAAACGTCTGGTTGACACATGTCTGGCGGATCACCTGACTAAAACTATTGAGACGCTCCCATCTGCGCAAAGGCATTCGCGTGCGATCGCTTCTTTCGTGGCTTCACTGGCTCCAGCCTGACCTCGACACCCGTGAATCCTAAACCCTGGTAGCCCTCTCAAGGCCGAACTGCCTGGAAGTCCACCCACAAGAAGCTCGCAGAAGAGGCCCCATGCCTGTCATAATCGGAGATATAACACCCATGAAAAGGATGATACCAGTTCTGGTACCCATCGTGGGACCTCTTCCGTGCCAGTCTCCAGGCCTGAGTTCCAGCCAAATCCGAGCCTCGAGCGATGTCTTCTCGTGGGCCGCGGGCCATCCACGGGCCTGGCCAGCCTCCCGCGAGCGGATGAGGCTTGATTTCGGGGATGCAAACATGGGGAACCTCGAGGTATCTCGAGGTAGAGGTTATGGCCATCTTGGGCTCGACATTTTGTGGAGCACAGGAGAAGCCAACAAGGGTATCCCAGTCCTTTTTCCGTAGGAGTGCGTGTTTTTTGTTGCGGTATGACGTCTAATTACTCCTCACTCGTATCCCACCCCACAAATCACTCGCTGAAAGTGAACAAGAAAAACCCACATGTAACCCAAAGGGAATGACATAGGGATGGTTCTGCTACATCTTCTGCGGATGGTCCGGAGGATTTTCCCGCCGCCCTGTGCTGGGAAGGATACCTGACACAATGCCTTTGGGGTTAAGCGCAGTAGCACCGGCGGCAAATTAACTAACAGAGTTCTCTCCCTACTAAGCCGACATCCCAAATCGCTTGCAACCTTGCCGACCGTTTCGCATGCCCCTCTACAGGACCTCCTTTCTGCCCACTCCAAGACTCCTCTCATCCACCCAAACACCAAGCTTCCCGGCGCTAGCAGGGGGTGGTTCGCATGGTTCACCAGCTGCTGGAGGACCATCCCCGGGTCCAAGGGTCACAATGTCCAACATGGTTACGTCGGCCATAGTGGCCCGCAGCGGTTTGTGGGGTTCATGTACAGTGATTTTGGAGGAAAAGTGCGTTTCGTGTGGGTTTTTGACGATTGGACAATCCAGAGCCTGAATAGCAGGTGGTGGAATTCACTGGTATTTACACTAGTCCAAGACAGCAGGTGCCCGAAAGCCTACGCTGCGTGGGTTTTTTGAGACCAAAAAAAAAGAAACCACCGTGCAAAAAGTTTTCAGCTTTTGGAACAGCTCACTTGTTTCTAGCGCGTGCCAGTTTCGACACCGCACCCCAAAGACCGTGTCCGCAAGCACGGACATTGTGTCGATACTGAAAGGACAAACAGTATCGCCAAAGCCTGTCGTTCACACCCCGTTCTGGAACTTTGTTCCGGAGCTGTTTGGGAACAAATGCCTTCAAGAGGCACCACTGTCTGTCCAAGCATTGAGTACCGGAATCCTTGAGGACACCTTTCGAAGGCTTTAAAGACTTCTTTCCCCTTTTTTTCACAAACTGCATGGATGCACTGGAGCGATGTACGTGATTATCTTGGCCAGCGTGGATGCACTGGAGCGATGTACGTGATTATCTTGGCCAGCGTGGATGCTCAACCTGCTCAACATGCGGTCCAGGCGTCCTTTGTAGAGTTGTTGTTGTTGTTGCTGCTGCTGCTGCTGCTGTTGCTGCTGTTGCTGTTGCTGTTGCTGTTGCTGTTGTTGCTGTTGCTGTTGTTGTTGCTGTTGCTGTTGTGCTACTCCACCGAAGCACCGTGCCTGGCAGCTTTCCCGTCTGTTTTTTCCAAGATGAAAGGAAGCACATCCGAGCCAACATCCAATAAAATGATGCATGCCTCCATGCACCAAAACAACTACGTGGCCAAAAACCACCAAAACCCTCCGGGCCGCTAAGGCCGACGTAAGCTCCAACATGGATTCGGAGGAGGGAGAGGAGGAGGGAGGGACAGAAAGAAGAGGGAGACAGACATGCATACAAATGCATGTCTGCGTTCAATTTCCGCCTTAACTCTTCCAGTGACGTCAGATCGTCAGCCCCAACGCCGGGACTGGCGATGTCGTAGAAGGTGACCCCGCCTACCACGGACGCGGCACCCTTGGCAAAGGAGACTCGGCGCCCGGACCTTGCAGGCTTCGGACAGTAGACAAGCACGCAGCTCGGCTACTACCTGAAACAATTCCCCTCCACGAACACTCACGGGCCATGAGTCTGACAGGGCCGCACGCTCATCCAAAAAGGCCCTGTCCTGATCATGTCAATGTGATGTCGGTGGTGACTTTGAGAAACAAAAAAAGCACAGCGTCTAACCCAGCTGTTCGAAAGCCGTCAGCAATCCTCTGGCGTCAGCTCCGCTGGGCGACGCTCACCAGGACAACGCTATCCTCTGGTCGGCTCACGAACCCTGCATTCTGATCTAGAAGGCTGACACAGCCCAGGAGCGCTGAAGGCATTGTTGCAGTTCGTTCTAGGTCAGGATCTTACTATTTCCCCTACCCTTCCGAAGCTTGGGGCGGGATGAAAGCGTCAGAACCCGAGTCGGATACAGGATGTGCAAGCTCTGTAGAACCGGGGACCGGGCCACCTGGAGCTCCCGTCCTGAATATGACGTGGGCTGCAGCCATTGAATACTACAGGTCCTTAGGCCCCACCGTAATAAATCACCTAGCCCGGACGTGACGTCGATTCCTGCAAGCCTGCAAGATATGGGTTTTAGGGTCTGCTTTAGTGGTTGTGGGGGTCTAAGTTAGCGGCCATCGAGGTGCTTCCTGCCGTTCGAGCGATGACGACACCGCGACAGAAGCTCGGGCTGCTGAAGAATCTGCCGAACTTCCCCACGAACCCTAGCAAGAGCCCTGGCATCCGCAGCCGTAAATCCAGTCTTCAACCTAAACCCTCAACACACATCTGCAACCTCCCGGAAAAGTCGGTCTGCGGTGAGTCGCTCAAAGGCTCTCTGCGGCGAAGAACCGAGCCCAACATCCTAAACACCCAGCATCTAAAGGCCCCACCCTGCACCGCGAGACCCAAAGGCCTCGACAACTCTACCGAGTCTATCCACATGGGCTGCCTACGCAAACTGCTGTGGGGGTGGGAAAGTGGCCAAGAAGGATGAGGAGAGCTGGAGGGGGAGCCTAACGGCGGAATCATGGCCGCATCCAAGCAGGCTTCAATTATGCGTATATTGGGCCGCTGGGTACCAACGACCAACAAGCCAGCAAGGGCAGAAGCTACTCAGTCTCCTCGAAGAATCGCAGGACTTCTTCAACTGTCCTTAGTTGGATCTCTTTCGCTCTCGCATCCCCAGACCAGCTACAGACTGTGCATGCGCTTTGGCCACCAGTGTCTTTGAGATTTCGGAATTGCACCCAGCATGGCAGTCGGAACATCCGCTTAAGCTTCACCATTCTGTACCAGCCATAGAAAGCGTCATGAAAGCCGAGTCCGACGTTGACTGGGAGGCCATTTTTGCTTTCACGAAAGCCTCAGCCCATGAACATCCTGCGATCTCTCTTTCTGTCACGGCAGAGCCGAATGATGCACTGCCAGAAAAATCGATGTACAGTGGGGTCCTTCTTACAGAATGCATCGATATAGGGGCCCCGTGCTTCACACATTACCAAAGAGTACACGTACTGAGGTACCTCACGCCACGAACTTGAATTCACAAATGCTATACTAAATTGTACAGCAGTAAGTGCAATAGCTAGGACTACAGTGCTCTTGACACCAAATGGGAGTCTCCGAAAATAAGGGGTACCTTATTTGGGGGTCCTTATAATAGGGATCCTACTATTTAGGGTGCTATATTAGGGTCCCCTATTTTCGGAGACCCCCAAATACATCCTGCAGGCACGGGTCCGGCCCTGGAGCGGGCGAGGGGCGCGGGAGGGAAGAAAGATAAGCTGTCTTTTCTTATGTCTTTGCCCGGGGACCATCTGGTCCTCAAAGATGATGCCGCAGGACCGGACTCCAAGATCCTTTCTGCAGCCGAGTCGCGGTTCGCTTTTCGTCGGCCGCCAAGACTACCTCACAGACAAAAAAAGCCTCGAGCCGAGCATCCACGTCCAGGATGGCCACATTTTCTGAGGCTGCACAGTCCACCAGCAGGCAGAGCAGCAGGCACAGGAAGGAGCTTTTTCCAACGCTGAATGCCCTTATACCTCCAGATCCTTCGACGAGTGTAGCGGTGAACTTCGCACAGGCCGTTTCCGTTTGTGATGGGAAGACGATGCACGCACTTCATCGGCTTGGAAACAAACCTTGTGCAGCAAGACACAAAAACAAAAGAGCTTCAGCATTCTTGCTTCTGCTTTCGCTGCGACTCAGGTAGACGCAAGCATTATGCCATCTTCGACACTGCGCTGCGCACACTGCAGCCCGAAACGCATCTGACATGTTTGCGAAGGCTGTTTCTGCTTGATACCACGCCTCTGACACGTCAATGCCTCTGTCCACGCTCTCTGTCAAGTCGGCCCAGCAAAGAGCCGCCTCGTAACACACCCCAGAGCCTGATGCATAGTCTGCAGATGCGGACATGCAAGAGTCCGGATTGAATGGTTTGCTCAAAGCTTCGATTTCTGTCTTTACCGGGCCGCGGGGTCGTAAGAGGATGGGGTATTGCCTGCCCAACATCAGAATCACCTTGGCCGTTGCCATTGCCTCTGTCAGTGCCTTTGCTGCGTTGACAGAGTCACCCGCACAAAGGAATGCACGACCGGCCTCGCTGCATTGGATGTAACGTTGGGAGATGCACGCAAGCAGCCTCTGAAGCGATGTTTCGGTCTCTTCCAGAATTCCTTCTGCCTTCTGCAAGAGCGACCGAAAGTCTGACGAAGATACTCTCCAAAGAGGCTTCCGAAACTCAGCCACGAGAGCCAGCAGATTGGGGGGTCGGGGCCCCGTTGCAATCTTGTCCAAAGCAGCAGCGGCAAAAAGCTTCAGAGTGAGCCGCTTCCAAAGATGTTCTCGCGCCGTCTTGGGCTCTACCAGTACCGGTAGATCGTGGCGCCTCTTCTGCAGGCAGCTGCAGCCCTGCTTCTGAAATGCTTCCGATCCTCGATCACAGGTGCATCTGCCGCTCGTTCCCAGTGCAGCTCCAGCAGAAAAGGAGACGAACTCTGCGACAGCCAGCCAGTGCTTGTGCCACTGCAACCACTTCGGTCGCTCGGCATGCAGTGACATCTGCCTTTTCCACTCCTCCAGCCCTGTCACACATGATCCAAGATCAACCTTTGATGCTGCCGTTGCCAGTCGATAGCCCGCTTTCGATCGGACGAGTATCTGCTGCAGGGCATGCCTTGCTACGGCATGCTCCAACACCCTCTCTGCAACCAAGCTGACATGGCCACACATGCATGTTGACTCAGGCACGAGGAAGGAGAAGATGTTCTCCCACAGCCTCATCTTCTGGAGCTTGCGTAATGGACTCTTCTGTCTCGGCTTTGATGCGTCCTGCATAAGAACGGCTAGCTGCCTTCTCCACTGATCCGGGGAAGCAGCAAACCCAACGGGGCTGCTCCAAAGCTGCCGGGGTGCCTCTTCTCTGCCGCTGTTTTGAAGTTGCACCTGCAACACCATGTCACACAACGCCAAGCCACGCCTGGCCACCTGCAAGGACTCCTTGAAGATCTCTGCACGCTCCAGGGGGCTGTCCAATGCATGCATCAGAAGCTGCATTGCTTGTTCCTGCTGCTCTTGCAAAGGGATCCGCAGATCTTCCAGGACCTTGTGCTGAAAATGCTGGCGCATGAAGGTGATCAGTGCCGGCAGGTCTGTCGGAACTTCCTGTGATCGGGCCGTGCTGACACTCCTCCCTGACTGCATCTGCACGGGTGCAGGAGCAGCAGGAGCAGGCCTCTTCCATGCGAAGTTGGGCTCAACCAGAAACCCGTGGAGTTCACCGAACTCCTGGCCTCAAGCGGCTTCAACCAAATAGCACGGTGCTTTAACATGCTCTGACTAGGAGAGACGGAGAAGACAAACACGATCAGTCAAGGGGCAGAAGGCAAGGTTCAGCTGGAAGTCCTCATCGTCAACCTTTGCCAACTCGGATCGTAGCAGTGCCCTTGGTCGTCGATGATCTCGGCCCTGCCTGTGTTCTAGTTCTGCTTCCAACCAACCGACGAACTCAGGCAACGTGATGTCACAGCTCGAGTCTGAGACCAAGCTCGCATCGTCTGCAACTGGACATGATGCCAAACGATCTAAGCCATCTAAGCCGAATTCCGAGCCGGGCTTGCCCGACTCGACTCTTTGATTGTAGCCATCCAAGCTTGCCAAGTGCTCCACCACTCCCTCCTCTGACCAAAGGGACAGCAAAGGGCTCCATTCACTACAACTTGCATTGACTTCTAAGATGGCGCATCCAAACTTGGCACGCGTGATGGCGGTATAGAGGACCTTGAACTCATGTATCGCAGGAATCATCTCATAGAAAGTCAGGCTGTGCTGCAGAAAGATGTCGCCTTCTTGCGATGATGCCGCGAACATCGCAAGCTGAGAACCCTCTGAGCTGGCATCCGCCAAAGATCCGATGGCGCGCGCGTGGGCTGATTTCCCAACCAGCTGGACGATGACAACCAAATCGAACTCCAAGCCTTTCGCCTTCCGAGCAGGGGGGCTAACATACACAGAAAGCCACGAGGATGCACATTGATTGGCTGTTTGTGTGCTTGTTTTCTGCAACTCGTGGCGAACTGATTACAGCATCAATCGCCCAATGGTTTGATGCCAGACCGAATGAAGCTCTTTCATCTGAACGGGCATCGAGGCGACCGCACCCGAACACCAAACGGCACACTGCATGAAACCAGGTTTCGCCTCGGCAACTGTGAGGATTGTGGCTTGGCAACCGCCGGCACGCAACTGCCTGAGCTGCTGGCTACACCAGCTGCAACACACGCCCAAGTTCAATATGCACATGTGAACTCTGACAGGTATACGAAGTGATGAATGTGCATAGCTGCTCATCTATATTCTGTATGTCACTATGTTGGTCTGGTTAGATATGACCAAACGCTGTCTTGTTTAATTGCGTCCCAGTTTCTCTCTCGTAGCAGCATCAGGAACCTGGCATGTTGCTCATCTAAGGTAATATCGGGGCCTTAATAATTAGAATAGGGTTTTGGTGCGATTTATACTATAAGCATAATAAGGAACCCCCAAAATAGTACGAGTATAGGTAATTATTTAGGCCCCTTTCGTAGTCTTCCTTTTGGATTCGGACAGGGAAGTGACGATGTAAATTGTCCATTGAAAGCTCGGAAGAAGCGTTCTTCACCAATCGCTGCCTAGCAAAGCCCACATCCTGGTCTCACGAGGACCACTACTGAACCTTCTGATCCATTGGGCTGGAAAGCTCGCAGAATGGACGCCGTTATTCACCCTCTCAACCAACTCCTGGCAGAAGCGGCAACGAGGGGCGGTGGAGCCTCAAGCCTGCAAAAAATGGATGAAGCCCAGCCAACCTCCTCTACGAGCTTCACAGCCCTCTGAATCTCAACATTCTGATGTATGTTTTGATTGCCCGTCTGGTTCATGAAAGGCACCAGGACGGCCGTAGAGCTGGCATCTATAGCCCAATCCAGCTTCAAGCGTCCGGTTCCTTGGTCCAAGCTGCTCAAACGAGAAACAAGGGCTTTAGTGAACTTTAGTGGGGGCCACCAGACTCGTGTGTCGTGTGCCTACCCTGGAATGCAAGGTTCCGGCAATGGCCTCCGCTGGATGGTCGGTCTCAAGCAGAAGGGGTCGAACGCGCATCTTGAGTCCGTCGTCTATCTCTTGAATATCATCTGCAGCACGAGGAAACCTGCTGAACAGCAGCCCTGTGATTGAATTGGCGAGGGCTCGAATACCAGGTGCGCAGCGATAGTTGTATCGCAACACATGCAAGCCATTTTCCGTGTCCTCTGCAGACTTGTGTCCTGTGCAGACCGAGCAGATTTGTACTTGGTCTGGCAAGGTCGGGACGAAAACACTTCGATGTGATGTAATTATGGGATGCCCCCTCTAGCTTCAGATTCGTACCTGCGAGGGGCTACTGCTCGAATTCTCCGCCCTCGGCCAGATTGCCACTTCTTTTGGAAATGCCGCGAGCTCTCGAGACACACATATGCATATGCTGCTGTTGGTTGAAAAAGGGTTCGTTCGACCACTGACAGGACTGTGCAGTAATGCCCGTTTAATGCCCCGTCCTCGCAGCTCCCAGATCTTTCTGTGTGCTTGCATGATGTCCACGAAGCAAAAGGCGCTTCCTGGGTTTATGGTCTGACATGTGTCGCCGGCGACCGTGAAGCCGTCCCTGTCTCCACAAATGTCTAGCAAAGCCGCAAGTTCGGTGGGCGCGAAATCTTGGACTTCATCCACGTACACTTCATGAACACGGCTAGCACCAGGCATGCGCTCGCGCAGCGCGATGGCCACATCGATCTCATCCTTCCTGCGCATCCTCTCCTTGATGACAATGTACTCCGTAAATGCTCGGTGAATGGCTCGACGGTCAGCAGTTGTCAGATGGACACCTTGTCCGCTCACTGGCATCTTGAGATATTCATCGAGGCTTAAGCCGTTCCAGTGCCAGTGGACAAAGGGGCGCAAGCTGCAGGAAAATTCAGTCCAAACGGCTTTTGCGGACAAAGTCAATAAGCCATTGAAAGCTCGCTGCAGCTGTGGATAGATATCTTGCTCGAACTCTCTGAACCCGATGCAACCGCCCGCAGGCGACATGTTGAAATGTGAAACCAGCTGGTTCCACGTGAAGCACAAGACCTTGCCGCTCGCAGGCCACGCTTGCTGCCCTGGAGCCGAGATGACTCTGACATTCGCCGACTCAAGCTGCTTCACTACGGTGTCTCTCAAAAGCTGCGACTTCGTGACGAAGAGCTGGGACTTGGGCTTCGCATCTCCAGAAGCCCAGCGCTCTCTGCGATGAATGATCCGCTGCACCAACACCAAGGTCTTCCCTGTGCCCGACCGACCTTGAAGGAACAAGCTGTGCTCGTATGCCACAGCTTCCTCCTGCTCAGAAGACAATCGCAAGAGCTCAGAGTCTGCCAGGACGCGGCTCCCGGCCTGGGTTGCCCAACACGGCTTTCATATGTTCCGGCTCTCTAGCTTCTTTTCTTTAATAGGAACCCCCCCCCTCCCCCGTAGAATGAAGGTAAAAGGGCCCCTTGCTACTGGAGGAGCTAGCGGCCACGGGCTGGTCCTTTCCTGCCAGCTTCCACGATGCTTGACATCGACCCTGCAGCTTTGCAAGACGCTGCTGCAAGGAGAAGTGCAGGCGACGTGCAGGTCGATCCATGGCATCTCCAGAGAGCTCCTAAGCTCTCGTTGCGTAACTTCAGTTAAATTGCCATGATACTTCTCACAATAGACCTGAAGCGTAACAGTTTAACAAGGACCCAGGTTCTTCAAGGGAAGCAGCGATCTTAGACATCTCCTCCGGCACGTTGTCCATCGCTTCTGATGCGAAGCCTTCTTCTGCTTTGTGCAGCCGCGCCTGCAGTGCTTGTAACTTCTTCGCCAACTCCGTCCCATCGATAGCCTCGAGAGGAGCAGGTTCTAGCCATTCCGTGTTCAGAGGCTGACGTGCTCGCCGGGAGCAGAAGTTTTTCGCATCCTGGTGAAGATCGCGTGAAAACTGCCGCAGCACCGGGAACATGTGGCAGGCTCTTTGTAGCTTTCACAGATGTCGTGTGCTCCATGCACCTGTATGTGTCCATCCTGTAACCTCGCATAGGTTCATACCTGGTCCCGTGGATCGTTTCAACCCTGGAGAGAAGCAGCAGTGGAGCACACCTTCAAAGCCATGGAAAAATCCGCACTCTCGCAGACCTCCCCTCTGCTGACCTCTCGCACCAGCACTCCTACTCCTGTCTGCGGTGGTGCGCAGGAGGATGTGGTTCTGCTTGCGGTCTCTGAGCTCTAAACAAAACCAGTGCGCTTTCAGAACACTCCGTGCTCATTCGGTAGACCAGGGGCGACAGGACCCGTTTGCAGACGATGTTCCAAATTCGCGTCGTATGCACCCAGAGGTATCACGCACATGATTTGACGTTTGCTTGTTCTCGAAGGGAGATCATTGGGAACAGACGAGGATGTAGCCAGATGGGGAGGTCACACGAGGTTCTCACGTGAGATGGTCATATAGGCTATGACTATGAACTCTGAGCAGTATATACTCAAGAAGTCTCTCGAGTGCCTCTTAATGCATTGTGGGGGCTCCTAGATCACCACGAACTGCAAGACACTGGTTTCCCATCGAGCGAAGTGCTCTTTGACCGTGTGTCGCAAACTGTTTCAGGAGTTCTTGCAATTCATTCCCTTGGCATATGGGTGGTTGTCAAAATTAAGGTCCCTTTTTGGGTCCTTATTATAATACGGCACCTATTATTTAGGGTACCCCAAAAGGGACCCTAATTTTGACAACTACCCATATGAAGAGAGAAGAGATTAGTCGGTCTACATCGAACCGCAGCAGGCCGGCACCTGCAGTAGGGTTGCAGTGTTTTCATGTCAGGGTACTACTCCATGTACTGGTGACCGAAGAGTTTTTGTGTTTCCGTGCATTCTGCAGGCTTGGCTATTGATGTCTTGGCTAGTTACGGCTGGGCTGGGCTGTTGTGTCGTTGTGTTAAAAGCACATCTCCCAGGCCAGGCACATGCCTCGACTCACTCAGTCACCCACTCACTTCCACATTGGAGATCTGTGAGGACTCTGCATGAGGACAGGATCTCGTCTCGCTTCGTTTTCTCAGCTTACGGTGCACTCCTCCCCTTGTACCGGCGTGGCCTGCACGCTCCGAACAGTGTATCCCTCTCGGAGCCACTGCTGGACCTCCGGATAATGCGACGGGCTGAAACGCTTCCTCATCAAATCTGTACCAGAGGAAATGAAAGCAAACAGCTCCTCCTGCAGGCGCTGTTGGTACTCTTGGGACTCTCTGTCCGACTTTCCTTTCAAAGCATCTTGCGACTTGGCGCAGACCCGAGCCACCAACTCCTTTAAGGAGGGCAGCGTGAGGACCGTGAGTTGGGCCGACCAGTTCAGCCGAGCGTTGACGCAGCAGCGCCCGGAGACCTGACGGGAGGTTGGATGGGAGAACTGACCGCGAAAGGTGTAGCGGTAGCGCCGCACCATACAAAACCTGCATATATGTGCACCTGCATGTCTGAAGAGAGAGAGATGATACTTCCCACACACACACATGCATGCATGCATGCCCACATTCATACATTCATATTACACATACACACACATACATACATATATACATACATTCATACATGTTTGTCTACATTCGCATGCCACTGTTAAGGTGTAGGTCTTTAATTTGCACATAGACAGGCAAAAGCCCACATTCGGTGTCGAGCCAGGACACCTGAAGGTCCAGATCCAATCGGACCAAGGTCACCAGGCCGGAGGTGGGAGTTTTCCCTGGGTTCTGAGTTAGGGTTTAGGGTTCAGGGTTCTGAGCAAGGACAGCAGAAGTCTGGTGCACCATATCCAAAATATCACTGTTATGGTCGGGGTTTTGCTCTGGAGCTTCATGCAACCACAAGAGATGTTGTATTATAGCTGATATATACGGAAACGAAGGTCCTGATGTCAGCACCACCAGAAGGAACGCATAAGTAGTGTATACAGTATGTTCTGTATACCGATCTTTCCTATAATTTAGGTACAGTTCCTGAACAGGCACCCAGCGGCTTTTCGCCTCCTTGGCGGAGGGACTGAGAGGGAACCCCACGGAGCCGGCACTCAGGCTCTGCATTCTCGCGGCCGGGTCCAGCGCCAGTGCCTCGGAAGCAGAGACTCTATAGCAACCCCTCCTAGTGACTCTAGTATAATTTTGATAGCCCAGTATAACCCCTCATAGGGTATAGTAGCCCATGAAAGCCTCTCATAGCGACCCTCGTATACTAGCCTCTCATAGCGACCCTAGTATACTAGCCTCTCGTGCTCGCCTTTGTTTCATAGCAAATTTTCTCAGCATCGGAACCCCTCTGATGAGGCCGGGGCCAGCTCCCGCGTCAGGGTCTGAGCATGGCCGGGTGGGATGCGCTGCAGCAGGTCCTATAAGGCGTTGAATTAACTAGTTCATGGTTGGGGTAGTATTAGAAATTTAAGCTTATATTCCTTATTGGGTTTAGGTACCCTTAAACATGTAAAATGTTACCCAACTATGACAAAGTTAATGTAGGGGCCTTAATAGTTAGAATGGGGTTTTAATTGGGGCCGTATACAAAAAAATGTTTATGAGGAACACCCGAAATAGTCTAGGTAGTTACTGAGGCCCCTACATTATAATATTCGTGGTTCAGGGAGGTTAGGCTGGTGGAGGGGTGCTTGGCAAGAGCTCGGGTTGGAGATGGCGGTGCGGGCAAAACCAAACAGATGCAGCACATGATGTGGCATCGTAACTCTCCAAAGCGGTGTTCACGCAGAGAAACTGGAAACTCCATCTTAGTTTCGGCGGGCCATGCAAGGAAGAAACCTCATCGGAAAAAAAACCCACACTTTCTTCCGTCCTCTTCCAGCTCGCCAAGGCACCTGCCATGCAGTCTGCACCCATACGATTTTGCACACCAAAACGCACAAGATCTCTTTGTTTCCGCACATGACTTTACCCATAGGCCCCATAACAGCTCCTTCTTGGGGTTCATATGTAGAATCCTATAAGGTAGTCCCAAAAAGGAACTACTATGGGGCCTATGGGTCGTGGGCTCTGGACCTCCAGCTTCCATGGAACACTCTCTTGACGCACGCCTGGCCCCAACATTGAAGAGTCTACTTCGAGGACGCAGTTTTTCGTGGCCTCTTTTTGGGGGCTTTATATTGGGATTACACAAAGGCGGCTTTAACACGGCGGAGTTTGGGTTCCCTGTGGTACATCGTCAGGATGGGTGTGAACAAACCAGCTCGGTCAGAGAATCGGCACACATCAGCTTCGCAAACAACTCAGCATCTTCAAGCGTACAGCAGCTGAGAGAGAGCTAGATGTAAAATCCTAAACCCCTGAACCCTAAACCCCTAAATCCTAAACTTAAACCCTAAACCACCCTAAACCCCTAAATCCTATATACCCTAAACCATCCTAAACCCCTAAACGTTGGCATGCTTCTGAGCTCTCCGTGCTCGGCCTCCGAACCCCTTTCAAGCGCTCGCGCCGCGGCAGTGCCAGCAGCCCGTTCAGGGAGGCTCTTTGCGCCTGGCCAGCCGTGAGGGGAAATGAGTTAATAAGCAAATCTGAACATATGTACATACATATATGCGGATGTGCATATCTGCACGCATGCATGCATGCATGCATGCAAAATAGAGCCTAATATGTATATATACACATACATACATATATGTATATCTGCATGCATGCATCCATGCTGGATGTATGTATGTAGGTATGTATGTATGAATGTATGTATGTAGTGAAGTATGTGTGCATCTGCCTTTTACCTCTGCCAGGGGTACCCCGTCCAAACCCTTCGCCTTTCGAAAGAAAGAACGGATGTATGGATGAAAAAGGATGCATGTTCATGTTATGCATTGCACACACACATACATATATGTATATGAATATATATTTATGTACATACATACATACATACATACATACATACAAACAAACGCACACTCTATAGGACATATGTATGTATATACACTCAGGTACACATAGAGGCTATACAGGTTGTCTGTTTCTGTATATGTGCGCTGATCCGTTGCCTCGTTCTGTCATTACACACTCGCTAGACTCCTATGCGCGTCTCAGGCGCTTTGGGTTTAGGGGCTACAGGGTGACCTTGTCGTCATTCTCCGTGAGGTTCCGGAGCACGTCGCCAAAGTGCTCGATGCCCAAAACTGACCCGAGGCCCCCGGCCGCTACGCTGAGAATTGGCTCCGGCGAAATAAACTGCACCACCTCCATGGGAAGCCGCACAAAGGTACACTCCAGGACCCTGTGAAGACCCTACCTCATGCTATGCCTCTTCTGGCTCTGCCTCTTCTTCTCCTCTCTTTTTATCCGATCTTCTGTTCTACGCTCAGGCCTCGGCAATGTCCTCAAAGCGTACTCGCCTCCAGAACTCAACGACTTTTGTGTCGGTCGTGTCCTCAAAGGGCTCGATTGAGTCCATCGAATTGAAGGGCATCGGAGTCGCAGGAGCCCGTGGCGCGTAGGGATCTGGGCCTGGGCTCTTAAAGTGGCCATGCTATATGTACATTCCAGCGCATATCAGGCGTTGTATGCCCTCCATATTATAGTTCTTATACGAAAATAAGAATAACAACAATATTGCTATCGTGACTTTTATTCTCATTGTTACGTGTGTGTTGTTGTTATCATAGCTGTCTGTACTTCTTTTATTACTAGTCCGATTGCTACTTCAACTAACTTTCTGAACGAGAACCGAGGGGCCCTCGAGAGTCACGCGGATGATGAACTTGGCAAGCTCGTGCCCAGTGGTCGGGGAGAGCTGAGCCACCTCCAGGGGAAATCTTCCCTAACACCAGAATGAGGTTTAGGGATAATATAACATGTTCTCTATATATATATATATATATAAAGACATACATATATATATATATATATATGGGGACCGAAAGAGCAGATAATTGTTAATCCTTCCGAATCTTCCGGTCTCTGTAGTACTTAAAAGGATCCG